TATTTAAAATCTAAGTTCGTTTAAGCAATTTTCTTAAATTTAAAGACAATATCTTTACACTCAGGCACTCTTTTGTTGTGTAGAAGTTTACTTGTTCCTGTGGTGAGCAGGCCAAATTCGGATAAAGGATTCGTCCTTTATCTATACCTATAAAACAACATCTACAGCAAGTGGTACGTTGTGTCAGTCGTCACTGCGTTTCTATTAAAGACGATTCCGTAATACTAAATAGTGTCAGTGACGAACGATCAAGTAGTCACTCGTCGCACAATATCTCAAACGTAATCGAATTCAGTCACGTGCCCACCAATATTTTACACGGTAAGATCACTGGCCAAGCTACTTGACACACAAGTGGATATCTACATGTATATGGCATTCTTCCAATTCATTTCCCAAACAGGATATCTCTCATGAATACAGTATCTATGCTCTTACTGTTTCAATTCCGAGTAAAGTTTGGTAGGAGGTGTAAGGCTATGATTTTCAAAGTGAAGCTTGTAACGTATACACGTACTGTGTATATATATATATATATATATGTAACAACAACTTCATGTCCGGAATTCATATCTCTGAGGCTAATTAGAAAATATGTAACTAATCGCTACCGTCGGGCCACCAGATGACTCAGCGGTAAACCCGAGGGTTTATAATGCTAAAACTCGGGTTTCGATACCCATTGTAGGCACACCACACAGTGGCCATTGTATAGCTATGTACTTAATGACAACCAAACCTTAGTGTCTGCCAAACATTTCTTGGCCCAGTTTGAAAATTTGAATTAGTTATTCTTTGTATTGCTGATATTTGTCGTCATTCTTATTGTGAATAAATGTATTTTCAGCAAAGTCGTTACAATGTAAATTTCAAGAGTTATTTCTAAATGTGTGAAAACAATTAACAAAATAAACGTTGAGGCTACCTCCAAAACATACTACTGAATGCAAGATTTCAAGCCCATTTATGAGTTGTTCGTCAGGCGAGAGACAATTTGAATATGAACGTTGCATGAAACATAACAATTTATAACATTTTCGTTATAATCAATTAAGTATGTAGACAACCCGATATATTCTGCATCTCTCTGATTGCAATCGCAGAATAACTGAATATAACGGTTGGATTATTGTATAGATATAATTATTTGATTTATATAACGCGCCATCTGTTGTAAGTTTTCCTCTGCTAATGATATATATATATATTCAAATTCTCTCTCACTTTTTGTTTTTAAAATGTGTAAGGATGATTGTTGTTGTTATTTTTAACGCAAAGCTGCACAATGGGTTATCTGCGTTTTGTCCACCTCAGAGAATCGAGCCCCAGATTTTAGCGTTGTAAACCCGTAAATGTACCACTGACCCACCATGGAAGAAAATGTGTAACGCCAACTGAAATTTATTAAACATAATTTAAAGTAAAGAAACACATGACTAACTTTAGATATTAGATTGTTTATATAATGTTTACAGACTTTTTCACTTACCCTTTTATTATAGATGTTCAGTCCAGCACAGCTAAATAAAAATTATACGTTATAATAAATTTCAAATAAAGAACAGTTATTTACACGCACAAACCTGGGTGCGCGTAGTATGGTTTCCAATAGTAAAGGTAAAAAACAATATCAAGTTATATAGAAAAGAAGTATACAATGATATTACTGCAGTTCAAGATAAAGTAAACACTGAAGTTGGTAGTAATAACTAAATGAATATGAAATAAGCTATTCCCGATCTCAGTTGATTGGTGATTTGAGTTTCTATGCGAGTACTACTGGATAGAAAATATACAGAAGTAGTACTTATAGAAAATATATTTATTTATTTACATTGTTCATCTGCAAACATCTTCAGATTTTTCATTACTATTCATTATGTAATATTTTATATTATTTCTCCCTTTTTATTAACTATACAAAATATTGTAATCAAAATAACAGTAATAATAGCAATAGAAATAATAATAATAAAGGTATTTTTACAGACAATACTGAAGCTGTAATACTTGTATTTTATATTTTGAAAGGTGTACCTCATGGATATAAGAAATCTTGTTGCTTTCCGCTTGTGTGTGTGTGTGAAACGATATCTCCAACCTATGATACAGTTAAAACTTTCATCTCGATCTAATAAATTTATGTTCTCCACCTGCTGTAGTTCTGATGTTAACCCACCGCCTCTCCAGGTCCAGGATGCAAGTAAAGAACTTGATGACTGTCATACCAATAGATCATCTTTCCCGAGAAGCCTATATCAAACGTGGGCCTATCCAATCGAAACTCAACTCTTATCCCAAAACTAAGTTCAACAATAAGTAAAGATGCTTTTGTGATATTCTCAGATGAACTATTTTCCTACAAGTATAATATAGAACTGCAGGATCGAACAGGAACTTTGCTGAATTATCTGAATTTGCAAACTTGACGGAGTTTTTAAACTTGCGTGAGAAATAAACAGATTGTACATGTTTTAAGGACAGTGACAACAGAGTATATTACAAATACCCCCTCCCCCCCAAAAAAAAGACAAAAACAAGTGTGCATACCGCATACACAAATGGACAATCGCCTCTACTGAATTAATGAGTAGATCTTTAACTTTTCAGCCCTCGAGTTGAATCTATGCTGAACCAGTTACGATGAAAGCCAAGTAGGAAATACCCTGGAAACTCGATTTCATTCTCGCACGAAACCATTGTCTTGCTGACATCACCACGTGACTTATAACTCTATTTGAACATTTCCAGCCTTAGACATTCCGATGTCATCTTCTTTGCCAAAGAAAATATTTTTCTACATTTTCATAGGCAAAGGAGACGAATTTTGATGCGTAAAATGGACAGGGAGATAAGGGGCATAAGGTCACGCTTGAACAAAAGTTTGTTTATTTCTTTGTTTGTTATTAAGCACATAGCTACACAACTGGCTATCTGTACTGCGCTCACCACGGGTATCAAAACCCGATTTTTAGCGTTATAAACCTAAAAACTGGCTGATGAACCAATGGAGGGCCGAACGAAAGAATTCCAATGGTTTTGGGCCAGTTTTTTCATACTATGAATTGCATAGAAGCAAACTATCACAAAAATTTCAAAAATTCCTGTGTCACTAAGAATGATGAAAAGTAGATGATATAAGGAATACATATACACGCATATTACACTTTTATCCTCAGTGGTTTAATTTCCATCCCTGACTGGAGTATAGTAAAATCAAAGATGATGGATTATGCTGTAACGAATTTGTTGTTATATATATATTTTAATGTCAACGTTTGTTTGAATTGAGTTTATATTTAAAAGAATGCCTAGTTTATAGCGTTAGATATGTATTGCGAAACTCCCGTTTATTCTCCAAAGTTATAGAAG